GTGGAAAAGTAAAAGGCCAGTGGAAACCTAATATAACTTATCAGACTATTGTCAGAAGGCTCCATGAACAATCCTCTCAACTCTAATAGAATAATAAGATGTCTACATCTTATACATATCTTATCAAGATGAACATTTGCCGAATAGACATGAGATTTGAGTCCGAAATACCTTGGGCCGAAACGTTCAACATGTTCAAGAGACCAAGAAACCTGCTGTTACATTATATTGGTATCGACGAAAGGCTTAAACAATTTCTCTAACTTTAGTATTTATGAAAATAAATATGTAAACGTTCAATGTCTTGAAAGTAATGGTTATCTAAAAATTGTAATTAATTCGACATACCTGACGCCATTTTTCCCCGCTAAATATTCCGCTCACATCGACAGGCGCTTGATATGGCTTTCAGTTGTAAATAAGCGTCTAAATGAGTGGGTCTAAAGAAGGTACCCGTTTGAATCGGAACATCTCATATCTTATCCTAGAGTGACTTAATCAGATGCATATAATATTTTATGGTGATGAGAGTGAGATATGGTTTTGTAAGGACACGTGTCCCATCAAGGAATTTCATTTTGCAAAATGTCAAACGATCAAAGCATGTTCATAATAAGAACCGTTGAAGTGAGGACAATGATTTGTCCTCACATCCCATTGAGCGTCCTAACAAGGAAGGTTTTTGGTGCATTAAATGTCCTGACAGAACGGGTAAAATCATCCCTCTCCCTCTCTCTCCTCTCTCTCTCTCTCTCTCTCTCTCTCTCTCTCTCTCTCTCTCTCTCTCTCTCTCTCTCTCTCTCTCTCTCTCTCTCTCTCTCTCTCTCTCTCTCTCTCTCTCTCTCTCTCTCTCTCTCTCTCTCTCTCTCTCTCTCTCTCTACACCAGTATTCCTTCAGTATTCCTTCAATATTGATAAGTATAACAACTATATATTCGTGATTTAGTTATTATTTTATGCATTAATATAATTATCAGTAAATAATTTGAGCAAAATAAGTTTGAAGGCTGTAAAATACTTAATACATATTCTTAAATTCTATATAAGATATTCCAACTTAAAATTTCACGTGTAGTATGTCTTATTTTTTTCATAACATCTTGGAACAACATTTACATATCTCCTGATTGGCGACTGAAATTTTTAAAAATGTCAGATATTAAGAATAAAATGTGTATTATGAAAAATATGACAAAACTTTTATCACCAAAACTTTGTCGGAATCAATGAAATTCCTGCATATTTTGACAAGAGATGAGATAGTGTCTGATGCCTGGTTTAATCATTTTATGATCTGTGACAAAGTTTTTACTCAGAAGAACAAATTTTATTTTTTTTATCAAAATTAAGACAAAGCTGGTGCTTGCTGTTTACATTAAAAATGGCTAGAAAAACATTTTACTGAATAATCGAAGAAGGTTAAATCTACTTTGTTTCCTCGTGCGTCACAAGCTCTGGATAGACCGGTAGGATACGATCCTTAGAGATTTATATCTGAACTAAATGAACTTTTTGTTTTAAATGAGCTTAAAGAGCTTTGAACTAATAAACAAATAACTAAGCCATTCAGGAAATTGTAATTGCCAATTTTTTTTCAATTTCCTACTTTACGAAATCCAATTAAAATTAGTAAAGTCATGCCCTCGCGTAATTTTAAACATTGTATTCCTCGGGAAAAGTTACCAATAAATAGTATTTTAGGTTCGACAATACCCATTAAACCGGTACAATTATAAGTCGGACGCATTTTTACAATAGTTTTACTATATTTATGAAAAGGTATTATCCCTGGTTAGGTAAGTGACTATATCATTGTTAAAATTTATAGCTTTTTGGACAATATAGGTTGTTATTAAAATTATCCAAAGAATTGTCTAATATTGCATGTGTGTTAAAATAGAATAATTAGCTTCTTAAAAAGAATAATCGGTTACTTATTGCGTGCAAAAAAAAATTGTTGTAGCTTAAAAAGTAAAACAAATCTATATTTGTAAACAGGAGAGAATATATAGCTTGTTTATGGTGTGATTAAATAAAGAATAACCTTTTCAAATTGTGTCTGACTCCTTTTTACAATATACATGTATAACTTTTCATTGTTGGATACCAAGCAATAGGAATGGTAATGTAATTTTATGAAGATATTTGCTAAAATGTTTTTCTATATAAAATGTATTGATTTTCATTTTCTGAGACACATCTAATCAACCAGACTTGGTTAGAGTTGTTACTAAATTACTATAAATAAATAAACATGGCGAAATTAGAAATATGTAAGTACTTCAGTATAATATTTCACGATCAATTAACAACTTGAAATACAAACGATGGAATATTCCGAACATCTTATTAATAGTTTTATACAGATATAACTAAAAAAACAATTTTGGTGTTTAAAAGAGAAGAAGAAAAGAAAAGAAGATAAAAATGTGGACATTTTCTTATATATATATTTCTGATAGACAGAAACACACACGCGCGCGCGTGGGAAAGTCATGGTTTATTTCAGCATACAAATAACATATTTACATTAAAAAGATACTTGAATGAAAAAGGGTTAGAACAGAACATAGATTTATGTACTAAGTTATGTCTAATTTCGACATGTTTATTGTAATTTAGTAAGAACAGACCATTTCTCGTCAGAGACTCGCATAATGTAATTTTTAATAAATTCAGTATCGAACCTACACTCATTCAATATCTACATTTCTTCATTATTGTCATTTTTTCCGTACCAATTTTAATAGCGCTGCTAATTTCTTTATAGAATTAAAAGCAGAACAGAAAAGAACTTTAATTTCTTTAATTTGTACATAGTACATCATCATATTCAACATTTTGAGCAACATGTTTAATGTTAATTTAATCAATCAATACAACAATGTAAAACAATAATGTTGTGTTTGTACGCAATATTGAATATGGTGTCGCTAAAATTTTGTATTATTGACTGACATATGCATAGATAAAATTAAAAAATTAAAGAAATCAAACTGCATTTTTTTTTATTTTAGCATTATACAAATCATTTCACAAATTTTACATTCATCTTTTAAGTTAAATCTATTTCTATAGTATAACTACATGTGTACGTACTATATATTTAAATCAAAATTTTCAAAATATTGTAAGTTTAGAATTATATTATGCACTTTAATCTGTCCCGGAGGTTAACAGATTGGCGGATGACCTACCCTATATTCAAAACAGTAACTTGTATCCAAAAATAAAAATAAATTACAAAAATAAATACAAAATCAAATATTTATATTCTTAATAAAACATTATTAAAGAGTCTTCAACTTGTAACAATATTTTCATTTAGAATTACCTCAAGTTAACCCTTACAATAGCTTTATAATTGAACTTGTAAAGCAATGTATAATGTCTCAAATTATGATCAAAGAAAAGAAGTGTTTATGTTACAAAGAATTCATATTTTAAATGCAATTATATCCACCGGAATGTTTTAGTATCTATGCAAAGTTGTTCTTGGATACGGGCACGGGAGAATCGCAGGTCAATTTGACTTCTCTAACGATAGACGCAATAAGCCGATTAAATTCTTTCATAAAAAATAGATACTAAAAAATACCAGCTATTTTTATTATGATAATGTCAAGAAATCCATAACAGAAACAAAAACAACAGCAGCATCATCATCATCATTATCAGCAGCAACAACAACAACATCAACAACAACAAAAAGCAACAACAACAATACCAACACTAAAAAGATCTTGGTAATTGAAAGTAGGATGCTCTTCGTGTGTACCGCAGTATTTTTTGTTTTCCAGGCAAATTGTTAACTGTCATTTATTTTCACTAATTCCGTATTATTAACTGTTGCAGCTAAACTGTGAAGTACACACGACTCAATGATTTAAGTAAAAAAAAACAAAAGGTCAATACATGTTAATAGGTGGTGCTAAGTACATGTATGCAAATTAGCACGGTATTACAGATGACGCAGTTCCACTTTAGACTATAATATTTATCTTGACTTCAATTCTTTAGGATTTCTTTCAACTCATCCTATTTTTTTTATTAATTATGAATTTGCTTGATTTGTTTATTTTTTATTATAATGAATATGTTGTAACTTTAAAATATCATGTTGGATAATTTTATTGTTAAGCCTTTTAATATTATGTTATGAGATATCTATGGTGTATGGAAATTATTTTTTAATATATACTTGTATGTTTACATATGACACATTAATTACTGAGTCCAAACCTTTCACTCCATCACTCACTCACTCACTCACTCACTCACTCACTCACTCACCAACTCACTCACTCACTCACTCACTCACTCACTCACTCACTCTCTCTCTCACTATAACAATAAAAATTCTTTAACAATTTTTGTTCTTGAATGCAGGAACATCGCTAAAATGGCAACAGTTGAGAACAACAAGGCACCTACTAATTTAATTAATAACGGCAGAACACTACCGTCACGTTCAAGTGTGATGACGTCGTCGAAATGTTCAGTCCCGTCATCTTTGCGGTCCAGTCGAATTGACCTCCTTTCATCACGTAGATCAACCAATTTTGGGTCATCACCAACAAGGCGTTTAAGCAGCTTCCGTGTTTTGACGTCACCTATCCGGGATTTGACGTCACCAGTTCGTGTATCGAACAGATTTTACAAATCTAATTTAACCAGGAAAGCTAGTAAACGGTCGTTGATTACTGCAGTAATGCCGAATGAGTTAGAAACAACAAATGACAACATAGCTTTAGTTCCCGAGGAATTGGAAATTCTCCTTGATCGTTGCAACAAAATCGAGAAAACAGCAATACAGAATATGAAAAAAGTAGAGCAAAGTCACGCGGCAGTTACCGCAGATATAAAGAAGTATAGGAAACAGGTGAATAATGTCCTTGACGTGTGGGAAAAAGAAGCGCTTGAAAGGGTGAACGGCATAATGGATCTTGACATAGCGCATCTGAGCTCCGTCTTGGATGAGGTAACGAAACTGGCAGAAGAAATACTTCAATCAGCAAAGGATGTTACAGAGTATAAAAGCAAGCTATTCGAAGTAAATGTTATTGAAACGGAGGCTAAAAATACCTACAGAGAATATAAATTCGTTAGCAACGAAACCATATCAAATCTTCTAAAAACTGAAACTGAATTGGGAGATATAGAAATAACGCACGAGGTGGCAGGGCTCTATAACAACCTTAAAGCTTTCGATAATTTTGTACCAACGTATTTGGAGGAGATTAATGTTAAAGCTGAAAATGATACTTTCGATTGTGATATAACTGGAATGACAATGATTGGAAACCACAAACTGTTTCTTACTGATACAGATAATAAGTCCATAAAAAGTGTAGACACCAAACTGAAGAAAATAACTTCATACTTAAGTCTTTCGTCAGGTCCTTGGGATTTAACCGTGGTGCACAGAGGACAACTCGCCGTGACTTTACCTAACGAGAAGATAATTCAGTTTGTTTTAACAACCGGCGGCTTGACAAAGGATCGTCATATGAAGGTGAACGGAGAATGTCATGGAATAACATACCGTCGTGAATGTTTAATTGTGTCATTTAGGTCGCCAGGGAAGGTCCAGATAATGACTCTTCAAGGACGGGCTTTGAAAATCATAAACCAGGATCTTCATAAAGCCAGACTGTTTGACTGGCCTGACTATATCGCTGTTAGCAAGGATGGAAACTACATATATGTTTCCGACTGGCATAGAAACACAGTAACTCGTCTGAGTTGGAAAGGGGAGGTCACTGGCGTCTACAAAGACAGTCTTGGTACAAAGATGGCGGGAGTTGCTGTGGCGAATGATGGGAGTGTATTTGTCTGTAAAAGAACGAGTCATTCCATTGTTAAACTGAGTCCAAACCTTTCAGTCAGCAATACAATACTTGAGGAGAAACATGGACTTAAATATCCGTGGTCATTGTGCTTTTGTGATGAGGAAAGTAAATTGTATGTTGACAATAATAGGAACAGTAATACTGTGGCGGTCTTCGAACTGCGTTAAACGCATTTATATATACCATAATTATAATGCACTAATAAAACATTAGAAATACATGTTTTATCAATTTATTACCGGAAGAGGTCACAAAATGTCGACAAGGGGTAATGCATATTGCAAGTGGGAGGGGTGACATTTTACTAGATCTCCAGAGGGGTCATGAGTCAAAATCTTGTTGATTTTTGTGTCGCTTGCTACTAAATAGCGGCGACATATAGAGATAACTTCTCCGTCGCCTGTCTGTCCTTCTGTCCGTCCGTCACAAAATTTGTCCGCACTACTCCTAAAAACTACTGGTGCAATTTATTTTCAAACTTTACACGATTGATTAGTACAAAGTCTAGTTGTGCATATCGTTGGCATTTTCCGGTTTAATGATTTTTGTCACAGTTATGGACCTTAATGATTTTTAGTTTTTAAAGGTTTGTCCTGCAATACTTCTCTTATACTATAATAATTGATGCAAATTAAAGGAAACTTTACCGGATTGATTGGTACTTCAAGTACTTGCATGATAAATGGGTTTTCCGGTTAAATGATTTTGGCTTGAGTTATGACCCTTTAAAAAACGCGTAATGACATGTTATTGATGTTTTTTCTCCTGCTATTTAAACAGTTGCTGCAACATGCAATTGGCTATCATCTGGCGACACATGTGATCACTGATCGCGCTTGTTATTAGCTAGCTCCGCTTCTCAAGAAAAAGGTTGAGCTGTCGTCATGGTCCATTTGCCGGTGTTAGCGTCAGCGTTGGTTGACATTTTCCTTAAGGTCCATTTTTGTAAAAACTATAAAATTTATTAACTTCAAACTTGGAATTCTTGTTCCCAGATAAAACTCTCTGGTCCTTACGGAACACGGAATATTCACTTACAACTTGGAGTACTTGTTGAATGATTTGAAATGCACATCTACAGGGGGAGATAATCCATAAATACGTTTATGCTTTATTATTTTCCTTTCTTGAATATGTATATTTGTCTTTTTTTCTTTAAAACAAGTTAAAGGTATACATTGCATGCATTGCTCCTAAAAATAATGACTGACAGTAATTTATATTTACCCCCACTCCCAAAAAAAATCACACATGAAATATACTTATATGGGCCATCTTCATGAAGGTGCATGATACCCCAGGTTTGGCCGATTTAGTACCTTCAAAACACCATGTCTGTGTTATTGATAAATTTAAGCGGGCCATCACTTAAATATGGTCCCTGCCTCCTTAACCGTCTCCCCCGGCCTCCTTACCTCCCCTCTGCCTACACGCATGTTTATTATTACTATTATTTTGCATTTTGTTCGAATACTAGTATATCATCTAAAGTACTAAAAAAAAATAATTGGAAAACTTGCGCGACTGAAAATATGTTTGTCCTTTAATTTATTCTAATTTTCAAAAATCACCAGTGTGTTTTTCTGAAGTTTACATTTAAACTATGGTAAATAACATTATTCCCTTCATTAGAAAGTTATTAGAGAGTCCTCAAAATTGATTTTGGTATTGTAATGCGTTTTGCGCATTCCTTCAAGAAAGGACGCTTTACAAAATAAATATTAATCCTGTACATAGCCAAGTCTGACTTATGCACATCTTTTAAACAAAATACATAAAGTCTTTGAATTTATTTGACTTAAAACCTGAATTTAAAGAAATAAATCTGAACGCTTTACATTTCTTTGTAAGTTCAGAAAGAAACTTGAAACTTGAAACTTTTTATTTAATTAAACGCCTGTTTCTATTTAACAATATTCAACGGCGTTGTACAGTACATATAATATAATAAGAATCAACATCAAATGAAATAAAAGCTTTAACATACAATTCCAATTAACATATTTTTAAAAAATTTTAGAGACCTTAAAATGATAAAACTGATATACATGTAGCATGAGATAAGATTATTTACATACATGTAACTTGATTACAAATAGATTAAAAAGAATAAAACATTCATTTACATTGCACATTCATCACACTGTCAGTCATCAGTTATACGTTACTCATGTTTATCTCATTTCAGATTTTAAAATAGTGATTCAAACTTTCTGAAAAAATGTGTTTTAAGATTTCTTTTAAATACATCAATATTTTTAGATTGTTTCAACTCTAATGGCAGCGGATTCCACAATTTTGGACCAATAGTTCCGAAACTTCTGTCACTAAATGTTTTTCTTTTATTGAATGGAATAACGTAGCAGTTCTCAGAGGTTTTAGCTGAACGTAGTCGGGTATTTGGTACTTGTTTGGTTAGGAGTTCAGAAAGGTATTTTGGAGCATGACCGATTGAACAATTGTATACAAAAGTCAGAATTTTATATTCGATTCTAGATTTGATGGGCAGCCAGTGAAGGTCGAACAATGCTTGCCTTGAACTGTCAAATTTCTTTCGTTGCAGAACTAACTTAGCGCACATGTTTTGAATACGTTGCATTTTTTTCAATTCAAAATCGGATACACCATAAAGAATGACATTGCAATAATACAAGTGTGACATTACGAGTGCTATTACTAGTATTTCAGCTGCTTCTTTGGTGAGGTATTTTCGGATACGTTTTATTCTAAGATAGTTTAACATTGCAGTACGGCACTTTCGTTTGACATGTTCCTTGAAATTTAGTGTTTGGTCTAGAAATGCGCCTAAATATCTAATGGACTCTTCGGAGTTGATCTTATCTCCGTTTATACAAATGGATTTTAGGTGACACTTTTCGAGTTGTTGAGAACTTCCAAATGTTATGAATTCTGTTTTCGATGAGTTCATCTTGAGTTTATTAGCGTTCATCCAGTTGTTGATATCAATCGCACCATTTTCTAATTCAGCGATTGCAGAAATTTCACTATTTTCTTCAGAAAGGGGTTTAGTTGAAATTAATGTTTAACTTGTGTTTATGCAAAGGCACAGTGCTTATATTTAATGTAATAAAAGTCTCTGGCAAAGGCAATTTCTGAAACTTAAATCACTAACATTAATAAACAGGCTCGACGCAGTCTACAACATTTTTGTTTTTACCGTGTTCGGCGTTTTTAAAATTTAGTATTTCTATTTAAAACATGTTGTCTGCATTTCGATCTAGACAGGAATAATACATTCTTTTAAAAGTTTACAAGTCAGCTTATGCCATGGTTACCCGTTACAATAACACTTTCATTTCATTTTTATTGAAATGGAATGATTTAAAATCCAATTAAATCTGTTTTAAATCTCTCTACCATAAATATTTTCTTTGAGAATGACAATAAAACTCCGCGTTAAATGGACATTTTTATATAAATAGATACATTAAGATAAGATTGTTTATATCATAATATGAACATTAACACTGTCTCTAACGACAATACTTTATTAATCTGTTCGTCAAAATGTCACACCTGAAAATGTTTGATTATTTCTATGAAGATATAAAATAAGATTGATACCTTGTTGACAGAGAAACAATCACAAATCAACAGTTTATATTTTGAAAACGTCGGTAGGAGATATAATAAAAACATTTTAGCTATTTTCAAGCAGTCCGACGAACACCAACTTGAGAGAAACGAAAAAGAACAACCAGAAGACGATTGCACGCTCTCATATTAGTGCATTAAAGGAATAATTTGGAATTTAAAGAAAACTAAACTTCAAAGGTCTGGTGAGTACATCTTCTGAATCTGCACAACATTAACACCATTACTCTTTTTTAAAATTAATGTGCTTCATATTAAAAAATAATTATGATAAATGATTGAGCTCTGTCTATGATAATTGTCCGTGCTTATGGCCGTGATCATTTAATCGATTTTGTCTGTTTAGTTAGAAGGAATTATTTAGTATCTACATTATTAACGAATTTCTTTAGTGTTTTATTTCTATCTTCGCAGGTGTGATGGCCTCAGTTATGAGGAATTCGGGAAGTGACTATATATCAGCACGTGGTGTGGTCACATCAGACTCAAATGTGCCGGTAGCGTCAAAGTGGTCCAGTAGTATGGGTTTCCCGTCATCAAGAAAATCACTTCGGTTAAACATTGGTAAATCTGTGAAACTAGCTGGATCGATATCGACAACACATCCGAATTCTAAGAATAAAGGACAAGCCCATGACACAACATCAATAGTTTACAGACAAAGCAAACCGAGTTCTGACAAAATTGCAAGAGAACCAGAATTGCATTCCAAAATAAACAAGATTGAATTAAAAGATCTTAACAAAATTGGAGTTCAAAAAGATTTAGTAAATTCTCCTGAGTCTTTAACAAAGCAAAGTAAGAACATTTTGATCAAAGAATCTTCCAATAAAGTAACAGCAAATTCAACAAAGAGGGCTACAACAAAAGGGCAAAGAACCAATTCCCTAAGATCATCAGCGCTTTCAAATCAGCGAAACATCATTTCAACCGAAAGTTCAAGTAAAGTCAGCTCTTTACCTTCAAGACAGGCAGAGAGCATTCAAAGCACGAAAACTCGATTTAGTATAACATCAACAACCCGTGGATCAAATAGGTCAAACAAAAACCATTCGGACAAACAGACAAGAAAACAGTACACTGGTCAAGAAAATGAAATAGAAACCACGGCTGATAATATTATTTTAAACGCCTCTGAATGTGAAGAAAATGAACAAAAGGCACAAACATGTTTAAGTATTAGGTCAAAATCATCGGAAAGTCTTCGGTTACGGTCAACTGAGAGCTCAAGTCAGATTGACGTAATATCCTTGCACGGTTCAAACAAAGAAACACCACCTTCGGGACATTCAAACAGAGTTAGAAGGAAATCTTCTGTTCGTGGTAGCCCTTCAATTCATCGCGAATCAGGGAGATCATTTAAGTATAACCTGAACAGAAATCCAAGCAAACGATCTTTGATATCATTATCGTATCCAAAAAGAAATGATAACAATGGTGAAAAAGCACTTCCAGAAGAACTAGAGCTCTTAATTGATAGATGTAAAAACATAGAAAATACGACTATACAAAATATGAAGAAGGTAGAACAAAGTCACGCGGCAGTTACAGCTGATATCAAGAAATACAGGAAACAGATCAACAACGTTCTAGATTTATGGGAAAAAGAAGCATTAGAGCAAGTAAATAATATCATGTCTGGAGATATTGCTAATCTAAATACCGTATTAAAGAATTGTGTCCAACTTGCTGAAGAAATACTAACTGTGTCTGAAAAGGTTTCTGAGTATAAAACCAAGCTGTTAGAGGTTAATGTCATAGAAATAGAAGCAAAGAATACTTACAGAGAATATAACTTTATAAACAATGACAAAATATCTTCTCTTTTGAAAATGGAAAGTCAAATCGGTGAAGTGAAAATCACACACGAGGTAGCAGGTTTGTATAACAATCTGAAGGGATTTGATAAGTTTGTACCAACGTTACTTGAAGAAATCAATGTCAAAGCTGATAAAGATTCCTTTGACTGTGATATTACTGGAATGGCAATGGTAGGCACTAATAGACTTGTAGTCGCTGATGCCGACAATAAATCTGTGAAAAGTATAGACACTCGACTTAATAAAATAACTTCACATTTAACATTTATGTCAGGTCCTTGGGACTTGACAATGGTACACAGAGGACAAGTAGCAGTTACAATACCGAGTGAGAAGTTAATTCAGTTTGTTGCAATCGCAAACGGCCTTGTGATGGACAGACATATGAAAGTTAACGGTGAATGTCATGGAATAGCCTACAGTCAGGAAAGATTGATCGTTGGATTCCGTGGAAGTGGTAGGCTGCAGATTATTGATATGAAAGGAAATGTCCTTAAAACAATTAGCAAATTTATGTTTAAGGCTAAACCCCACACGTTTGACTGGCCAGATTATGTTGCTGTTAGTAAGGACGATAACTCGATATATGTCTCAGACTGGCATAGAAACACAGTTACTCGCCTTACCTGGAAAGGGGAGGTCACTACTGTCTACAAAGACAACCTAGGTACAAAAATGGCAGGTGTTGCTGTCGCGAGTGACGGGAGTGTATTTGCATGTAAAAGAACAAGTCATTCAATTGTCAAACTAAATCCGAACTTATCAATAAACAATATAATACTTGAAGAGAAACACGGTCTCAAATATCCATGGTCGCTGTGCTTTTGTGATGAGGAAAATAAATTGTATGTTGACAATAACAGAAACAGTAACACTGTGGCGGTCTTTGAATTGCGCTGAATGTTTCCTGCTTTAGTTTAGACATTATTTTAACAAAACATGAATTAAATTATTATCGTTATATTCCTTTCTTACCAATACGGTACACATTGTGCTTTTGTGATGAGGAATATAAATTGTATGTTGACAATAATAGAAATAGTAACACTGGCAATCTTTGAATTGCGCTGAATGCTTCCTGCTTAAATCTTTATCTTTACATGCATATCTTATACATATATGGTACACTTTGTATTTGTAAATGAGTAAGAGCATAATACAGGAGTTCCTCATCATCATTTCGCCCTGTCACATACTAGTATCAAACATTAACATATGGCAATATCTTATTATCGTGTGGATAATCGTTATTAAAACGGTCGTCGTTAACAATTCTGTTTGTTTCATTTTGCGATCATCATCTTTGTGAATGTATAAACTATAAAATATATTCACTTATTAAAAAGGTGTTTTGCATTCAGCTATTCATTTAAATGGTTCAAACTTTAATAGAAAGTTCTGAAGCGGATACATTTGTTTCTTCTGCATTTTGCGACCTTTAGACTTACTATTTCAATCAAAATTCTTTGTCGCAATTTAAGAAACAACTGGCCTGATAGATTTTTTCATTAGATAAGTAAGTCAACATTGACCTTGCACATAATATCGGTGTACTAGCAATAAAATAAGGTGAACAGCCCAAAGTACATTTTATGAAACGTGGTGGGTCGTAATAAAACTTTAAATGTATGACTGAACTTTTAACCTAAAGACAATTACACGTAAAAATTGAATGTGAATCGCAAGAATAATCGAAAGACAGCTACATTTTTTATAGTTTTATATCGTAAAACAAATAAATAATAACAAAACATGCATAACAAAGTAAAGATATTTCCTGTTTATGTTAAACTGACTGAAACATTATATTGGTATTCATATTTTAGATGTTTCAGTAAAACGTGTTCATTTTATACGTGAATATGCTGTGTGTAATACAAATAAAGATGGGCCAGCTTAACACTTGCAGTGATGAAGAACAACATTTGAAAAACTGACAGAAATATTCCAATATTACAAAGATTTCAGGAATACCACGCTTGTCTATTGTCGATAATTTCTTTTTAATATACATTAAAATGTGTCGGAACAAATTGGCTGAAAGGCATAATTTTATGTCCTAATTAAAGTATATATTTTTTTGGAGAGGTATTTCAATATAGCGTGAACAACGACTTTTGCTGAATTTGTGAAAATATCTTCATTACTTCCTCACACACCACTTAGAATATATCTGCTTAATTCTTCGCGACGATTTCGATTCGTTTTCAAATGTTGTGTGCAGCAACGGGAGAACACTGTGTGAGAAGAACGGTTGTCTCCCTTTACATCATCTGGCTAGTCTCATCACAGGGCCTCTATAATGACGTTTAACCGGCCCAGTCTCTTCTTTAACAAAGTCTATGTCATTTAATGAAGATTTCTGATACGATTTCCACACTTGAAGCCGATTGTATCTAAAATAGTTCCCAATCATAGTCCTTCCTGGAAAAGTGTATTAAAAAAAGAATATCACTTTGTATGGTATATTTTGATGATATTATATGCTACAAGTTTAAATATATTGTTGCTCAGTAATTGCATTGCTGTTTCAAAATTCGTTAGTTAATTAACCACATTCCATGTTTTTCATAATGGCGATATCAACCAAGAACAAAATGTTTCTAAACATAGTGATGTTAAACTTTTTCATTATCCCGCATGTACAGACTCAATCACACCGAGTCTGCAATTTTCATGTAATTTTGCTGTTTTTAATCTTTCCGAGGAATAACTTTTTTTCAGATATTTAACATAATAGCATTAAATCTGTTATAAAATATATAAGGGCTCAAACAAGTACATAAATATAATCTTCTTTTGCTAAATGCCCAATTTGTTTCAAGTGTTCGGAGTCTTTGGTGATTCTATTACCAATTGAAAATAATTGTCTAAACAGTTCTTGATATGTGTATCATTTACACAGGTAATACTAAATAACCCAAACACTTACCAGCCTCCGTGTCTTCTGTTAGAAGATTCACCTTGACGAGGTTAGGGTACATGAGACTTTGTAACATCGGTATGATCTGAAACAGATACTTGTTTATTTGTTTGGTTTTACGGTGCACCAACACAGTATAGGTCATATGGCGCCGAAACAGAAAAACGATTTGTGTTACAAACTTCAAAGCAACATCATGCAGGGGTCAAAACAATCTCACCTGCTGGAGCTAAGAGATGCATAGACTCAAGTTATATACAAACCCACACAGTCGCCTCTTACGATAACGCTGGGATAAACGGTGGCTTCAATTTTTATGCCTCACCATTAAAGGCAACCCCTCATTCACTAGGGGCTCTAAACAAATACTTGTTTCAAATAATCACCAAGTCCGGACAACGGAATTTAAATAATTTTGAATTATAACATAGACATGTCGCATTTCCATTTAAAACACCAAACAATATCAACGAATAAATTAATAATTCAAGCAGTTTAATCATTTTATATCATTAACAATTTAATTTAAAAATTGGTAAACAAGATTGAACGTTTCTATATTTTGTCTGTCGGAATCTCTTTCAGGCGCGGTGCAGCCGAGCGACTGAGCAACCTACAATCCATAAATTGGTTGAAATTATGTTTTGAATCTTTACACAGTATTAATTAGTATGACATGCTGATTTAACGTGATAGAACGATTTGATTGGACTAACTTTAATTCAACCAGTAACTAATGTATACCTTTTTGCCTTGTTCATTCTCTGTGAGATTAAAACCAAATAAATGTATTGCAGCATCCTCGGGATTAAGTTTGCTTATCATGTTAGCCAGGGCTCTCCAAAACCTGAAATATATACATAGCCATAAATCTTTCCTGTATTCTAAACAACACTACTACACCATTGGATACGACAAATATAATATAATCTTGATTAAAGTCTCATCCATACATAACAATATATACAACACTTCATTTACAAATTATAAAAAAAAAGATCATAAAGTTGCATGTACGCTCATTCTGTTCAGAATAAGAATTAAAAGGAAGACAACTCCTCGGCCCATCCAAATTGAACTGAAGAGTTACCATGCTTATTTACATTAAGAAACCGCTGCTAATCTCGTTCGGAAAGAATTTCCAAAGACCATAGCGATTTTGCAAAAAACATTCTAGAACATCCTAGATTGCACTAAATGTCATACAAGTTCTTGAACTGATAAGCAGCTATTTCTAAGCATTTAACTCACATATATTTATTTTTTAATCAAGTCTTATCAAAGTTTATCTGAAAATTGCAAATATCAATATACTACAAAACTAAAAGTTGGATTGTCAATCTGAATAAATAGACGAGACTTATATCAAAAATATTTCGCTAAATACGTTATCCATATACATGTACTTACTACATGTACAAACGGATATCATATCGAAAAATTATCAATTCATAAAAAAGAGGAATTATTGGTGAGGTGAATAACAATTGATTTTTTTTGTGGTTTAAAATTGATAATGACTTATAAATATCATGTATGACTGTACCGGAAGTATCTTACCGTAAAAATGTATATGTACTCACCCTAACACACTGCGGTATGATGGCTTGTACAACTTCTGTGGCGTTATTGCAAAATTCTTTAACAAATAAATATAACCAGGTCCTCCCTTTAATACAAAAGATAATACTAAGAGGATATTTTTTCGTTTGCGTGAAATATGGAATATATTTTCACGAAACATGATAAAATGCCACATATTTTCACGAGCCGGAACGGCGAGTGAAAATATGTGGCATTTTATCATGTTGAGTGAAAATATATACCATATTTCACAAAAAACGAAAAAATAACCTTTTTATTTAATTTCATCATCAAACAAAATGGTAACGAATTCCCTTGCTTGCTACCAACTGCAATTGTACAGCGCGCAGTAATTTATGCGTAAGCACGCGCTGTTTGGCGCTACATTGTGACGTCATGTAAACAACTCTTTAAACGTCTGTACAGCGTTAATTACCGAATTAAAGATATTGGTGTTCGGATTAATTTTCTTAGTTAGACCGTTTTCTATCATGCTAGATAGTTTTCAAAACAATATTCAAGAAAAAGTTGTTTTGTATTTATCAGATTTTTCAAACAAAACGGCGAAAGAAGTCCCTTAAAATAAATATGAGTTTTGACTCCGCCCACTTTCATATTTATATTTCATATTTATTTTTAAAAAATATGAAATATATTTGACTGATATAGCACCATATTTCATGGGTAAAATTAAATAAATGCTAGTATCTTTACCATTGACATCATAAAATTTACGTTAATTAAATAAACCGAGTAAAGCAAAAACCTTCACCAACATTCGAGCAATCCGCCTTAATTGGGACTTGAATAATTGGACTTACTTACAAAAAGGAAAAATTCAAAATGCGATTAAAATGTTATGGTGATTTTTGTAGGGAGAGACAGTGAAATAATTATAATAAACGCATTTACAATAAATATTATATAATATATGCTACTATCGTAATCAACTGCCCCCCCCCCCCCCCCGCTCATTGCAGTAACATCTAATATTGGAAAAGATGTACACGAGTCTTCATTATATTTGTCAAAATGTTATTGTTGTTAGTTTTTCAAATAAACCCGACATTGTAAAGGTCATATGACCACTTTCAAGCTTTTACTGTTGGAGGTAGACCCCAGAGGGAGTGCGAGTGTGGTTAATGCAGTTACAAGAGAGCACTGGAGCAGAACCACCGACCGACAGTATGTAAGTCGGATCACTTTCTCGCCAGAATGAATCCAAACGTTGAGCAAATCTGAAAACCAATCTCTCTAGTTTCACTAGTTGGCCCTACTTGTTTTGTGCATATGAGACGAATACGCTCGCCATTCGGAACAACTCGTCGCTCATACTTAAGTATAACAGAGTGAACTAAAAAAGATGTGATTGTTATCATGCAAGTCCCCATAGAAATAACTTAGAATCAATGGTAAACATACCAACCTGACATAGCACCATGACAGATTTCGCCTTACAATTCTGTTTGTATTGGTTCAACTTCCGTGACATTGTTTCTGTACACATGAAAAGTAAACAACATCAATATACATTTACTAGGATCTACATTTTCAAAACATTAGCTAAGATTACATTTATTTTTGATTACATATATTTTCTACATTGTTTTAAATTTAACGATTAATGTATGTCAGGGTACATGTATTTAACTAGAAAGTGTTATGTTATTGTCATCTATACAAGTATACAAATTACTTTACATTGTGTATTTATTTAATCTATTATTTTTATAATTATCATTTTAATAATATCTTTATTTGGCATAAGCAGCACGCCTCCATTGGCATGCTAATTTTCATTAAAATTTCGAAAACGTATCTAAAAGTAAAATATTTTGAAGTGAACAAAGACAATATTTTTCACATTGCAAACAGCACTAACAATTAACCCATGTAAAATCACAAAAAAAGAGGTCAAAATATGCAAAAATAGCACTAACTGCGTTATATGGTGAAAAGTACTGGAAAATTGATAATAAATCGCACATAACATGGAAAATGGAGGCATGCAGCTTTAATGGCGAAATAAGCACTTAATCGTATTTATACCTAAAATATCTGTGAAAGTACACGAATCAAAATCCTGAAAGAAAAAAAAACTTCTAAAAAAGCATATATGAAGTTGTTGTAATAAAATTAGCATAATTTATTCATTATTTATCTTATTCAATACACTACAGAAAAGATAACGGGTTTCAACGGCTTATTGAACAACTGAACATTTTGACACGACATATTTGAAACTACCTACTAATTTAATTGACTGATTTTTAATGTCTTTATTTCCCTTTTAATAAAATACTTAAATGGATTTAATAGTCAAATTATAATTGACAAATACCTTACAGTATAAAGACATACAATATACACATGCTTTATGTATGGTGGTGTAAGGAAATATGTCTTATTTAAGAATTTTACATCTCATTAATTAATAATAACAGCATTTAATACAAGTTAATAAGAAATACATTATACACCTATTTGCTAGATTGCTTTATATGAGATCTGTGCCTTTTTCAACTAAGATTTTATAAATGAGCAAATGTGCATGCCGCGTTAAAGTGTATATATATATAAATATATTATGTTGTTCCGGGGCATTCTTTTCTATTAACGGACAATATTCATGTATGTTGAATAACATCTAGACATTATATGTAACAACTTTTTTTCTGAATTGACCATAAACTAGATTTTACTGTTGATGAAATTTTTGAAAATAGTTCATAAGATACAGCTTTATATCCTTTAAAAATAGTTAAATTAGAAGAGAATATTCTTTATATTAAACGGTACGGTATTTGGAGAAAAAACATCATCAACAACAAAAGCACCTCTTGTGTTCTTTTGGATGTTTGTTATTATTCCATTCTGTATATTCTGTACATTTACTTACATATAAAATAGGTATAACGTTGTCATTATATACTTTTGTGAGTAGATAACACTTAGGTATCTTGGAGGAAACCAACTGAAAGTGGGAAAAGAAAACATTATATTTAGGTTTGTTTCTGAAACATTTAATTAACTTGAACAGTATAGAATATGCATGACTGTACAGTTGTAAACGTACCTTCACATATATATTTTCATGCTAAATGTAATAAAAATTAGGCCGGATTTTCGCTAAAAACACTTGAAAGTAAAAAGTTTGTTTTGCAAGCATTTTCTTTCAACCAATAAAATGATCATTTGTGTCAGTACTATTTTAGTCGTATCCTTTACCTACAAATATTTGGGTCTGAAATAGACCTAAGTAGTCTCTATAGCTATCGCATACTTAAAATGTCTAAATTGTAATCAATTCAAACGTTATTAATTATGGTTCATTTAAACTTAAGTCATTTAATATATGCTAAATTCTTGCCACTATTCTGGGAGGATTAAAGTTGTCTCCCGTGTAGAGTTGTTCAACGTGTTGCTCGGCAACCCACTTCTTCCGGTCCGCTTCTAGCTGAACATCTTCTACAATACTGCGCATGCGATGACCTATAACATTAAATATACGTACAGATTCAGTAAATTAAAAACTTTGTCCTGGCTTCCTTCTATAGATTTGTAATTGATTTCTGTTAGATATACAGTGTATTGTTAAAAAGAAAAAAAAGCACTTGTTCAAATGTCTAGTATATTAGAGGGATACATTTGATTCTAAAGTGAGAAGAAATAAAAACATAATGTATCCATAATCATATCATCATCATCTTCTTTTTCTTCTTCTTCATTGTTGTCGTTATTCATCATAATTTGAACAGCACACAAGCATCTTTGATAACACAAGCTTCACCCACTCTGCCTCGTTTAGACCGTGCAGAAAAATACGTTACTTTGTGACATTGTATACTAGCTACTCATAACTATAAGATGTTGTAACGTCACAGAACAACCACTTAAGAAACTGTGTTAATGATATAACCTGGGACAAAATATGCAGGGACAAGCATCTACTGACAAGGAAAGCGGACTTATTTTGGCGTCCATTTGACGGCCGATCGACCAATAAGGAAAGTTTTTGAATCATATTTGAATATCATTATCATAAAATTACATTGACATATTTTCATAACATTATATTAAGGCCAGTACAATACACAGGGATGGTTAAAAACTTACGCCAGATGGCTTTTTTTTCTTATTTAGAACAGAAAATAACAGATAAAATGGCGGCGGATGCGCCTTATTGGACAAAGCTGATGTCCAGTTGCTTGTCTCGTTTCATGTCTCAGCTATATTATTATATACCACAAGTTTCATGATCCCACGTTGAACTAGTAATATAAGGATCGCTAGACGCGGAGGGGCAAGCCGTTGATTCCTAGAGACTTATTGTTCCTTACGGGTTGTCTATAAACTTATAGCTTTCTACACAATCGAATTGAAATAAAATCTGTAAAAACTAAGTTTCACAAAATTAAAAAAAAACTCACTATAGTTCCAAGATTCATCTTTTCCTTGATTGCTTACTGGATTTTTCCACAATGACCTTCTCGTTTGCTCATGTGAGTGTTGTCTTGCCGCAAGATCAAGCCATGATGACGACCCCATTCCGTTGTACTTAAGCACAGGTTTCTGTGTTGTTACAATAGGTGGTAAAAATATATGTTCTTTTTTAGTTTCACCTTTATCATGGACTTGTTTCATTTTTATTAGCGCGTTTTTGTGTTTCTCCTCCGATTGTCCTATTACTCCATTTATAACATTATTTTCTAGACCCTCCTCTTCAAGAATTTCTCTTACTTGACTAGGCATCATATAATCCGCATCATATGTGTCTTCACGAGCTAGTCGTGATGGATGCTGCATTTGAATATTCGGAAACCCTCGAAGTTTTGATAGAACATCAACTTTCCATCTTGTTCCGGTTGATTTTCCGACTTTTAAAACCGGAAATGTTCGGTTATGTTCCTTAGAATGTCTTCTTATACGAGCGTCCGTGAGGAAGTTTTCATTTGGTGTTAAAATAAAGTTATCTGTAAATGTTCTATATGCTGTTATATCAGAGCGTCTCATTTTCCGGTCATGTCTACGCCTGGCAGCCATGACAACGAGTTTCAATGACCCACTGTTACCATAGAAACAAAGGTCCCTTTATCACATGATGGGCACTGATCTTTTTCTTTTCTTTTATCTTGTGACTTTGGTCGTTGTTGTTGCAATATCTATGCCTGTAAAAATGTGACACATATAATTAGTTACAAATGTATCTTTATACATTTTTGTATATCTAAGTACATTACATTGTATATGGAGAGACTGGTTATATTTTCTATTTTTTATCCATTGTTATTTTCACATCCTTCTCAAATATTGATATCATTTATTCAAGAATGATAATAAAATCTATTATTTAGAAGAAAACAAGAAATCCGTTTAACACTATAAAATTTAGTTCCATTCATTGATCATTTTGGTCTTGCTTCTTACCAGTATCATAGCATTATATACATAGGCCTTTTAAAACAAGAAGATAACTTATCATGCAATCATGCAATCAAAACATTTTAAATCTCTTGTATTGTCTTTATCGATCCAATATTTGCACCCTTATATATCCAATATCTGTTACTTAATTGATCCAATATCAGTAAGATTCACATAAGTTACTACTGTGTGGCTCATGTTATTGACATAACATGACTTTCACTATAAAATATTCATTGTGGTACTTTAAAGCTAGAATTATTTTCTGACTATGATACCCCAGCGAATCTTCTATAGAAATACAGCATTAAATTGCTATAAAGAAGGCCAACTATAACAAATTAGATGCTAATGCGCCAGTGATGAAACAGATGGTACCCAAAATAGGGTAGAAGTTCGAATCCCGGCAAGACATAAGGCCAAATAATTTTATTTTGTCTTGTTTAGTTGTAATTATTCTGTAGAAAATTTTAAAAAATGGTTCCGATAAAAGTAAACCAAACCTACACTAAGTGTCGTCTGCAAAAAGGGAATTTACAGATATTAATAAAGCACTGCATAAAACAATACATTTTAAGAAATTAATTGGTGATACACATCTATAATTAAACATGTCATATTAGAATGGTAAATTAATATAGAAGTAATATTTTTACCTTCTAACAATTATATTAGCCTTAAATAATACAGCACTGTCGTTTAAATTTTTGATCTTTCTTATTTATTCGTGTTTTAATTTTTTTTCTTTATTTTGTATTTCTATAAAAAATCCAGCTTTAATCTGATGATATAACAGCGAGCGTAATACCCGAACAATGCCGTATAATTTATCTAACTTCCGTCTGCTGGATTTCTGTAATCAATGGCATGAAATGGCTAAAAATAGAAAATGTAGACATAGCTGACTCCTACAAATATTGACTTATAATTAACGTCGACGTGTGTTGCAAAACCGTTTTTTGATAGCTTTATGAAAATATTGACCCGTTAATACCTTAAAACTAATTTATCATCGTGTCATATAAGTATTAAAGCTGCTAGCTTCCGGTTGAATAATTAAAAAAACAACAACCAATCCTCCCCTTGTTGGAATATTGATATAACTAAATTAGATTTAAATTATTTACAAAAATAAAATTTCAGAAAATTAAAATAAAATGCAATCGAGAGGGCGAGCATATCTTACACAATTGATACTATTTTTATTGATATTTTAATATCATTTTAATTAAGATAGAAGTGTGTGCAATTAAAAAACCTTTTCTTCTGCCTAAAAGTTCTGTAATGGCGGTTTACATGTTATTTTTGCATTTCAGAGAATCACCAATTGGTTTCATTTCTTTCTTTTAATTTCTTTTTTAATTTTGTATTTTTAATCTGACAAAAATCAAATTATTTACTAATAATAACCTTTTTATGTATATGAATATTGTTGTTATACCCTTTTAATGTATATGAATATTGTTGTTATTGTTGTTGTTATTATTATCATTATTATCATTATTATTATTATTATTATTATTATTATTATTATTTAAAATAAACGCACGCAGCTTTAAAATAATTCAAACTAGCTTAACCAAACTAGTCGATTAGGCAAACAAATGTGCATTGACTTTCAAGCAATCAATTGCATATTGAAATTTCACACCGTTCCATTCTGGTATATTTAATTTTCCAATTACATAATGGTTGATAATGTAGAAATCAATTGCTCATTATAATTTATTTAGCTTTTTGTTTGAAAGTTCAAATGTCTGTGGGAAAAGGGTGTATGAACTAAAATTAGGATCTTTATGGTTATCTCATACATATACATGTATATGATGATTATAATAATACAATATACATGTAGTGCAATATGATATTTAAAAGAAAACCACAAAGGAAAGCAAAAACACCTAAGACAGATGTGGTATAATTTTATCATACAAACATATAGATATTGACTTTATACTTTGATATGCTTTAACGTATTTTTTTTTTGAAAAGTTTCTTTAAAATTCTACATATCTTTAAAAGCTTCATTCGTGCTGTCACAGTGTATATTTCTGCATAGTTTCATTAAGATTTGTGCTGTCACAAAAAGTTTCATCAAAATCTCACATTTATGCAAAGTTTCATTATAATTGCACATCAATTCAAAGCTTCATTAATATTGAACATAAATGCAAAGTTTCAACAGAATTGTGCATAAATACAAAATTTTCATTAAATTCCTTGCTATCATAACATGTATTTTTGCAATCTGTACTCGATTATTTCGTAAATGCATGCACGTATATCGCGTGCAGTCTGACCTAGCTCTATTGTTAGCTGACCAACTTCAGATGCTTATCTTCATATCACTTAAATTGATTGTTTAGAAAATGGTGGTGGTGTTGGTAGTTTTCACTCCGGATCACAGCAGTAAGCCTCATTGAATTTACCAGAGCACAATTCAGCCACCGCACCGTTCCTAGGCAAGCTGATAAACAGATTACCAGCACTAGTTGCCTTGATTTTCGTAAGGAATTGAAACTTCTCTGCATGTAAGAGCAGACGTACAGTGCGAATGACCGTAGAAAATATTTCATAATCAGTCACAACGAAAGTGACCTGAACCATCCGGGAATCGAACTCGGGTCGCCCGATTCAGAGTCCAACACTCTACCTATTGAGCTAACCGGACGGCTGTTTAGAAAATGGAAGCCGGAAAATTCCTTAAATGCATCAGGTTGATGGTTAATATTTGTAACTTTGCCCTGTAGTGCGCTCTTATATACATGTACATTACTCTTGTATTATGAAAAGAAAGTAGTTATAACAATGTGATGAATTAGGATTTAACAAATATACATTTATATATCTTTGATAAGTTTAACAACATAAGATGTGTGTTGACTCTTCCAGTACTAAAATGATTACGTAATGTTCATAAATTGAGAAAACTAAACATATCTACTCTACAGTATGAAAAAATAGTTTGAAAATATAGTTTAAAAAAAAACAACGACACCAAAACAATTGCTTACTTTTTAAACCAAGATTGGAATATATCCTTCTAATATTTGTTCATAAATTTTATCAAAATTAATCAAAACAATCAAAAAGGTAAAAAAAACTTATTTAGACCATATTTAAATCCAATAAGATTTTAATATTAGAACTAAAAGACCATGGCTTCTGATTACGGTCACGTGGTTTCGCATTATCATAAAAGGTGTACGCCCCGGTATTGTTCAAATATTAAACAGAATTTAATGTGTAGGTAAATTGACTTTAAAGCTTTCCTTTTGTATAAGTCAAATAAACAAACAGTGTTCAATCCGCGTATATACAATGACATATTTCTTAAGAATGCAACTTTATTTAATTTAAAATTAACTTTTAACAGTATCTATTTTTCTTCAACAGAGCTTTCAGTATGTCTTTAATCCTATTAATTTTGTCAACATTCAACGGAGATACATTCAAAAGCTCCGACCAAAAAAATCTCTATTTAAGAATTGACATTAAACTGATTTCGTTTTGTAATATGAAATTCTCACTTAAAATCATCATTCTGTTATATCAACTTTTAACTTGCAGACTTACCACTTAATCTAGTTACATTGACATCTCACTTACAAAATCACCACTCATTCCGTTACTTAAGATTCGCCACTCATTTTAGTAACAATAATTTCCTACTCACAGAACCGCGACATCGACACTCATTTAGTTAATTTTACTACTCACGAAAACAGCACTCATTCCATTACATAAAGTTCTTACTCATTAACTTATTACTGATAGATTCATCACTCATTTAGTTACATTGACTTTTCACTTACAATTAATGTCTGTGAGTAAAATATTTTACACAAAGATGAGCATAGTACATGTATATTAATTTCATACCATCAGCGGCAGTTCACAATGAGTTCCTTTATTTTATTTTTTTCATTCTTATACTGAGATCCAGCGTTCCTTTGTCCTATAACGCATATATATCTTTACCTTACATACGAAACTAGAAACTTCACTTCAGTGTTGTTATATTTTCCTGGTCCTTCGGGATCATTGATCACAGCACTGTTAAGTGTTGAAAATGGAGTACTGCTCAAACTGGTGCTAGGGGGCGTGAGGGATGTTGCACTTTTTCATTATTCCTCATGTGCAGACTCAATCAAACCGAATCTGCAATTTTCGTTATTTTTTTTGTTGTGATTAATGCTTCCGAGGGATCACATTTTTTTCTAGATTGTTATGTTTTATAACTTCCCTTCATTTTGTCTTAATATTTTAGATGTTGCAAACAAGTGGCATTTATGCTAGAATCTTTCTATTTGAAAGATCCTGTCTATATGAATAAGAAATAGCTATCATTATGTTAATGTTTCAACACATTGGATAAATAGCTCGTTACATTTAATTACTTAGACAGGTTCGAATTGCTCTGTATTTCTTTTTAATTTTTAGTCGGGTCAAATGAACTACCAAACCATATGTAGTGAATGTTTTGGTTTGAAGTTTTCACCAGTTTTTTTTTTAGTCACGTCACATATAATATTTACAATCATAGATACAAGCCTCATTTTATTTTCTATTTCTTTTTCTTTTTTCTTTTTGTATTAGTAAATTAGTAAATTGGTTTATTCAAAAGATGTGCATTTGATAGTGCATCTAATAAATTATTGTGTTTCCGCGCTCCTCTAAACTTGAAAACTTTTACGCTTTAGCGCTCCTTAAAAAAAGAGAAGAAAATCAGTGTGAA